GATCCGTAGGACTTGCAGATGGTTGTGGCTGTTGCAGCTTTGATTCTATAATAGCAGAAGCCTCTATTACAGGTTTGTCGAAATCAGTGCTACTGCCGCTCAACTCCTGGCCATCGGGCTGAACAACAGGTTCCGAAGATAGAAGAGAATCAGTTGAAGGGCATGAGAATTCCCCCTGATGTGCCTCATTTCCTTCATCAGATACTTCTTGTTTCAATTCATTTTGCTCTCGATCTTGCTGTTTCATTTGCAGTTGATGGATTTGCTGCTGGCGCTGAAGAGCAAGTTGCTGGGCTGCATATTGCTGTAGATGGGCTGTATGCAGTGCGTGCAGTTCCTCGGCTCTGGCAGCGGCACTAGCAGTGGCCGCATCCTTATAAAGATAAAGGACTAGGTCCCGAAGTCGAGCGTAGAGCAATTTCCAGCCACGCTTTCCAAGACTGGCTAGAAATAGGATGATGTAGAAAGTTAAAAGTGCAAAGGAAAATGATAACAAATGCAATTTAGAAATAGATCTAATAGTTAAAAAAAGATAGGAGGAATGGCGCATGATCAAAAAGATATTCCAATTAAATTATTCTATAGTTCAATTGAATGTGGATGAAGCAAACCGATGATTCGAAACTTTCGCTAAAATAATAGTTGAGAGAATATAGAAGCATAAACACTTTCGGCTGGACTCGAAGTCATGACCAGGCAACAAGTGAAGCTAGTTAAAATAGGCCTTTTAGTCGATCCAAAAGGTCAGCAAAGGAAAGAAGCAGAATAGGTGCATAAGCAAATTACATTTGCAGACCAATCAGTTGAACAGAAGGTAAGTAGCGTAGAAAACAAGAACGCCTTTAGATAGTTTTGAGTCAGGGAATAGTGACTCATCTGTAGGGCTAAAACATCGGAATAACTTGAAGAAAATAGTATGCATTCCAAAAAAAGATTAAACTCAGGAGACCGAACTTGTTATCAGAATCGAAATAATTAAATTAAAATATTAGAAAATTTGGGGTTAATTTTAAGGTAGAATTAAAGAAATAGCCTAACGTGTAAAAATTGCAATAAAAAATTATTTTAGAGCAAAAAATAAGGCTTTATTGAAAAAACTGCTTAAAGGAAACAGGGATTATTCAAGGGAGTGAATCAAAAAGTCGTCTTCTGTGAGATTAACTTATTAAATCAGTCAGATTTTATGTGCAATAGTGAGTTGGGTTAACTGCCTATTTT